CCTCCAACGATGGTGGTCAAGGATGAGGTGGGGCCGCTGATGGGGGTCCGGCTAAGCAGCAAAGACCGAGCATAATGCGTCTCCCTTTTCATTATTTTTCCAGTAGCTGCGCCTCCCTTTTCAATATCCCCCACCCACAACAGAATACCAGCAGTGTCTAAGGCCAACACTCTCCCACACACCACACACAACCCACTCACACTCACACCCGTGCTGGCCAAGGACCCTGCTAATACAGATCAGAGGGTATCAAGCGGACTATCACCGCTGGTTAGCAGCAAGTGCGCCGCAGGCAGTTGTCGGGCTCGAACCCACAACCTCCTGAATGCCACTTGCGTGCCTAACCAACTGAGCTAGGGCGCTGGATTACAGCCAAAGTTCTTTTTCCAAGCCTTTCTTTTTTTTTTGTTGGTTTCTTTCTTTTTCCCTTCCAGGGGCTCGGGCCTGTGCTCTTTGGTTTTTGACCACGTGCGGCCATCCGTGACAAACGTCAATCGTTGATCCTTTTCGGTGTCGAGTGCTAGTGTCACCATTGTCTTCGTTGTCGTGGGGGTAGCTGCCCTTCGGCCAGTAGAAGACTTTTAAAATTATTTGTTGGCCATTTAGTTTGCCACTTTGCGTTGGGGGGAAGCTTCAATTCTATGGTTTTCAAAGGGGGAGGGCGTTTTTGAAACTTGGCCCGTTATTTTTTTTTATGTGCAGAAATAGAGAATATTGAGATTTCCGCGGAAGACTGCGAGTGTGTGTGTGCAATGACAGTTCAATGCGCCGTGGCAGACGGCGTCATTGTAGTAAACTGTCCCATTGCAAGCGTGGGTGTGGATGCACAGGCTGTACTGTCATGATGTCGATGTCAGATTGAAAATTTTTTCTCCCTTTGGGTCCTTTTCTTTGCATTCGTGTAAATGAAAAAAAACGTTGTTTATGCATTTTTAAATAAGCAAAGAACGCCACACACCGTTTTACACGATGCTAGTCTGTCCGGGCCCCAGGTGTCAGGTCCCACTTGCACAGTTTGCTATGATCGTACAGTGGTGTGCGACCCACTGACCCTGTTTGCACATTTAAAATCCATTCTTTTCTCATTTAAAAACCTCGTTTTCTATGCGAAATCAAATCAGGGTTTTTTGTGTGTTTTGTAATACCATGTTGTTGTTGAGCTGAATGCTCACTGAGCTCTTGCTGGGTTTGCCCAGTAGTCCAGTCTTGAGTCGCTCCGGGTTGTTTGTGAGGATTCCTGCTTATTCCCCCCCCAAAAAAAAACAGAGAAATCAGTTGGTCTTGCTGGGTTTGCCCTCATCATGCGAGTATCAGGTCCATGATCACAGTGCTTTGTATCCGAGGGAAGAAGGGAGAGGTTTCGACCTCTCTCTGCCTATCACCAGAGGAACTAGAACCCGGCGCTAAGTCCCACTAGCAGTGTTGAGTTTTCTCAACTCCCGAATCTGGACGTGTTTGTGGAGATGTACAGGAAATAGTGTCGAGTTTCCTCAAACACACAATGTCATTTCCACGAACACTTCCAGAGTAGGGCATTGAGGAAACCCAACGCTTCTAGTGGGACTTGGCCCCCGGCAGCCGCCAGGAAACATCGGGCAACTGAAAAGAAAAAAAAGAAGAAACAAGAACCAATGGGATCCACCGGCCTACCCTCTTCCCCCGAATACATCGTACGGTCATTATAGCTGTATTTGACCCATCTTATAGTCTAGAGACAGCTATAATGACCGTTGGATTCGGGTGAAGAAGGTAGCTCAGGGCATAGGGGCTCGCCACACAGGCTTTCGAAACGCGCAACATTGACTCCGTGGGCCAAGTCCCACTGCCAATTCACTTGGTCCGATAAGCCTTTGTTTGTGCGACATCATCTGAAACCGATGATCTGTATTGATCGCAGGGTGCAGGTTTCTTACGAAAAAAGAACCGCCATCAGTCAGAACATTAAGTGTTCCTATTGGCCATGAAATCCGTGTATTCGCAAAAAAAAAAAAAAAAAAAAAAGAGAGAGAGAGAGAGAGAGAGAGAGAGAGAGAGAGAGAGAGAGAGAGAGAGAG